GTTTCATTCCGCAAACTAACTTTTTTCAGCTACTTTCAGCTGTTTTGTACTCTTTTAAGATTCTGCTAGCTACAACATTTTTGTGCTTCTTTCAGCTTATTTATGTAAGTTTCAGCATTTTCTGCTATTTCAGCTACTATTTATCAGTTTTATGCTAATTTTAGCTTTTTCAGTTAATTCCACATTTTTTGCACTCATTTAATATTTTTTTCAGCCTAATTCAGCTAAAATGTGCTCTCTCCACTCCCTTCTGCTAATTTAAGCTTGTTCTTTGATTGTAGCTAATTTCAGCTGTTTTTCAGCCAGTTCTTCAGCTATAAGCATTCACACTGCATTTTTGCAGGAAATGTAATTTCTCTAGTTCCATTTGGAGCTGCAAGGCTCCAAAGTTTCTAGTGAAGTTTAAACAATAATTTATTTGATTTTAACCTACACAAACTAAACTTGTTCTTGTTAACCACAAACGTACAAACATCAAATTAAATATTACATAATTCTCTGTTCGCAACACAACTCTTAAGAAGAACTGGATTAAAGGAACCAGGAGTCCAGATTAAATTTAGCTCATTTTAGGGCTTACATTAAAGCTACTCAGCTCTGAACATTCTTTGGGTCCAGCGTTTCATCAGACGGTTTCCTGGGCGCAGACATTCGGCTGATTTGTCTCGCAGCGGCTTCAAATCAGTCCAATGGGCACCACAGGAGGACCGATGATCCGCCAATCAGCAGGCGAGGCGAGCTGAATTACCGAGGTGGAAAGACCAGTTTCACACGATGTGAGGAATCTGAAGATATGATTTTTTATGAAGGTTTTTTATAATACGATGCGGTGAACATAAACAGTTAAGTGTCAAAGACTTTTGTAGGAGGAGAGATGATAAAAAATTAAAATGATGCAACAAGATGAAAGGCTTCCTTTACAAAAATACAATAAAACTGTTTAAAATAGCAAAAGTACTGCTTTAGGTTCAATGAACTCTTCTACCCATTAAAGTTTAAACGATTACAGTTCAAAGGGAACAAAGAGCCACAGGTGGTTGGTGCGGTTGTGTTCAGCACTTCCACGATGAAGGCTGCACGACCATCTTCAAGCAGCTTCATGTTCCTGCGAGCTGACGACATTATTGAAAGTGTAGGGTCCATGGGACGGCGGACAACCTCCCGGGACGTGGACGGCAGTGAGAGCCCAGGAAACAGTCCAGAACCATCGGAGCCAAACTCCACGAACAAACTACGCCACTTCCTGATCACACGTTGAATCATAATGGATTTCATGGTAAAAAAAAAACAGACAGGTGAGAACGTTGACAGAAAAACTCAAAAAGCCTGACTGGAAGTCACCAAATTACCTGTTGACAAGTCCCAGACTGGGACTGATGGGACAAAACTGGATCTGTGATGCTTCAGTCACATCAGTTGCTAGTTCATTATAATGTATCTGTATTTTAATGCCAACATAAAACACTCAGAGAAAAAAGCTCCTTTTAAGTACTTTGACCAGTACTAATACCAGTATGGTTATGTTGTTTTTAATTTTACTTTATTTGTGGGTGTACACAGGCTTATGTCTTATGTAATGTTCTCATTTTTACTTAATATTTACTTTATTTTTACTTTATTTTACTTTATTACTATTCGCACCTTACGTCGAAGCAAATTCCTAGTTGTGAACCTCGTTCATTGACATGGCGATAATAAACTGATTCTGATTCAGTACTAATACCAGTACCAGTACTTGAAAAGTAACGTGACACTGCTGGGATTCTGAACATCGCAGAGCAGAGAAATATACAGTACATTTAGTGTAATTTTTATAGATAAACCTAAATACATTTTATTCCTATAATCTCATAAAGATCTGCATATAAAATATAAAGGTCATGAAAAGACTGGAGTTAAAAAAAATGAGCTAAAAAGACGACAGGCAAGAGATTTTGGACGGAGAAAGGTTGCATGAGCAAGCACAGAAAGTTAAGTGTTGTATTCAGCCTGCAGTTTAAAGTGCCACGGCCCTCAGGCACAGCAATGGCCGCCTAAGTGGCTACAGTGACAGCAGAAATTGGCCTTCTGGTTTACAACCTGTCGCCACATAGCCAGACAGAGCAAAGCAGCCGGAGGAGGGGAGACAAATAGGAGCAGAGGAGCAAGTGTGTTGTAAAAAATAAAGAAAGAGTTAAGGCAAAAGAAAAAATAAAGAGTGAGAGCGGGACAAAAAAAAAAGTCCTGCTCAAATTGAAAGGGAGAGTGTTTCTCTCAAATCCAGTGGTCAAACTAACAAAGTGTTCATCAGGCCACCGCTACACAGACAGGTGCTTTTAATGGCTAAACTACCACCCAGCTCTTAGAGACTTCAAACACACGGAGGCAGGCGTGCACGTGCATGTGCACACAAGCAGTAAAACAAAGATTGAATATATGACGACCCGTGACCTGGAAAGGAGCAGCAGGTAAAGGAACTGGATTTATGGTAAAAGGTGACACTAACAGAGGTGTTCGTGAGAGGGGAGGCTGCAGCTCCACAGCACCATCGCCTGGAAAACATCTACAGAACACAACGAGCGCCGAGCTGTGGAGTACAGGCTGACAGTCGTCCGGGAATCCCACGGGTCACGTGATTCCCGCAGGATGGGAGTCAACTTTAATATTCCTCAGGTGATTGGGACGGGATAAAAAGTTAACGGGAGCGGACACCAACCATTAAGCCGCCATCTTGTAGTTTTCTTTCAATAAGCCTGCACTGTAACGCAGGTCAAAAGAACTACACGGCCCAGAAGCCAACAGTGCTTCCAGCCGCTGCGATGGAGGGAGCGAACACCAAGTCAGAACTAACGATGCATCTATGAAGCTCACAGAACTGTCAGCAAAGTCTCCAATAATCCTGAACTTCACAAGTGTGACGGTGTTTACACGTAACATGTAACATGTTACATGTTACTGTGCGCTGCTTGTAAAACATGTTCAGCTTTAGTTACCAGAGAGTCAGGGACGAGCGGTCTCAAGAGACACTTTGTCCAAAACTCAGGTCCAGCATGTGAAGGTAACGTCTTTTTGCAGTTTTGTTCAATGAGGACAGTGATCTTTATTGGTGCATTTTTTTGTTGTTGTTGTTGTTTGTTTGTTTGTTTGTTTGTTTAAGCGATTTAAAACATAAAAGTAATGTCACTGTTCGCTGGTGAAGATTCTCAGTCATCCAGGACATGGTAAATCTAAAAAAAGGTCAAAAACAAAACAACTGGACTGTCCTGTTGTTTTGTTTTTGACCTTTTTTTATTTAATGTCACTGTTTAAAGGAAACAATTGCTCAATAAAATAAAAATGCAGTAAAATGCAACTTTATAGGTTCTGTTTGGGTTCATTCAACTAAGGTAGACACGGTGTGGCCCATGCACGGTTGTTTATTTATTTATAGATTTTTTTACTGTAACTGACCTCCAAAAGAACTAGAAACAGACTCAGTAGCTGATCCTCCATAGAAAAACTATAGGAACCACAGGCTGTGTATTATTTATGTTTTGAGCCCTTCAGTGAAGCTTTTTGTTTGGATTACGGCAATAAATGCCTCCATGTTTCACCTCAGATTAACTGTTGCCGTACATTTTGAGCACAAAGTAATCTAAAAAGAAATGAGAAGAAGATTAAATCAAATTCAATGCATTTCCTAAAGAATTTAAAAAAATAAAAAACAGGAGCAGGAGTCATGTTATTGGGAGTGGGATGGGACAGGAATTACTTTTTTTTTTTTTTTTAATATACTCTGGCCCGGGATTGGGACGGGACTGAAAACCCACTCCCGTGTCACGCTGCAGTGTGGATCCATCCTCGGCCCACTCAGGTTTCTGTTTGTTGAACACAGCAGGACGGCGTGCGTGTGTGTGTACGTGCGTTACCTCGGGTCTGAGAGAAGCTCGGCTGCAGGCCGGGCAGATGGGTCCGTGCTGGGAGAAGGCGATGGGCAAACGCCTGGTTCTGTTCTGACAGGCCTGGTCCTCACACACCAACCAGCCCTGGAGGGACACGTCAGGAAACAGTTGCATCTTATCATCGGATTCATTGACGATTTTTTAAGGATTTTTTTTTGTGTTTTTGTGCAAAACATTAGAAGTTAACCTCCTGAAACAGAAAAACTCGACATCTAACAACAAAATAAAGTAAAAGTTTTTAAATACACACTATGAAAACTAATCCTCTTACTAATTTTCATTCTACGCCTCTTAAATTAGCCCATTATTGCAAAACTATTCTTGTTTTTTTTAAAGGGGTTTAAACACATCAAAAAACATAAATCAAGTGAGTTTTGGAGGAAAAAGATGAAAATAAAACGGCAGGTGTAAAAAATAAATAAATAAAAGAATTTGCAGCAGCCTATACTTCCCTTTGTGATAACTCATTAAAAGAAAAACTGTTGTCGTTTATTTTGTCGATTTAATGTTCTTAAAAATTGACAATGACAAAAAACAACTTTTGTTGGTTGGAGACACTTTAAAAGGCGGTTTCCAGTAATGAGGAAATTTTGCTGAAAATTGTTGCCTCCATTTAGCTGCTCTAATTCAGCACAACAAAAGTACACAGGGGGGTGGGGGTAAAAACAACTGGAAGAAACAAGCAAAGAAAGAATAAATATGTGATTTCAGGCCCCCCAGCTTGGTTTGCCTAAACATTTCAGATTATTCCGAGTGTCAACGTGCTGCTGTCACAGGCAGAGCGGCGGACAGCCAAAACGGCAGTAGTTAGGACCCCCTGGGGTGAGGCGGTGACCCCAGGCAGGTGCTGTGCTCTAACCCTCTCAATCTCCACATATTCTTCCCAACTCCTCCTCCCCCTTCTGGTTCTTATGCCCTGTCATTACCAGGGGGCTTTAAAGGGGAGGGGGTTAATGCCCAACTAATGACAGAGCATAAGACCCACCGCCATCAGCGCCTTTGCTCCTCTCCTGCAGCCATCTTTCCCTCCTTCCTGCCTTGCATTCACTCAAAATAAACTCGTGCACCTGCCTTTCTGCCCCCCCCCCCCCAATCACACTTACAGCCACGTAGGGTTTGATTGATTTTTAGGTTCGTCTTTCTCTTGTTGATCAGTTTTGAGCAGCGCGAGTTTAGAAACAAAAAGTGTGGAGAAATATTTGTGGACTTGACCTTTTATTAAAAACATCTGCAGACGAGAGCTGAAGTCCTCTGTGGCAAAAAGCAAACGGAACAAAAGGAGGTTGATTACAACGGAACGTACGTTTGCAAACTAACTGCAGATGTTATTTATACAGTATATACGGCAGTCCCTCGCTACTTCGCCGTTTGTTTACCACGGTTTGTCCAAGAAAGATGGATGAGTCATGGATTGTTTATTGAAAACTAATTATTTTAAATGATTTTGCACCATGTGTGCAGCCCACAAGTGCAGGGGAAGCTCCCTCCTGCAGCTGATCAGCTGATCTCCTTCTCTGCCACGCCCACATTTCTCCTCCAGCTGAGTGAAGGTTAACCCTTTGCTGTGCAGATGCACCGATCGACTTTTGTCTTCCAACTTAAAATTCAAGGTATGTCACATGGTAAAAATCATCATAATCACAAAATATAAAAGTGTTAAAAGTTATTTTTAATTATTTTAGAACTTCTATGTTCAGTTGTTTCAGTGTCATTGATCAAGAAGTTCATTTGTGCTCCGTGCTGCAGAGCTGGAGCTGCGTGACATCCTGTGATGTCCTGCTGCTCTTCTCTACAATTTAAATTTAAATACTGTAACATTTTAAATAATCAATCCACGCTGCATGGATTGTTTATTTAAAATGTTACAGTATTTAAATTTAAATTGTTTATTTAAGGAGAGAGATTGGGACTAACAGGTGATGAGTGATTAAAGCCTGACACTGTCATGACAAAGTTTACTGAACTTGAACTACTGTATCCCTACTTCACAGTTTTTCACGTATCGTGGGTGGGCGTGGTCCCAAACACCCGCGATACATGATGGACTACTGTATATATGTATATATATATATATATATATACATACACTTAACGGAGCACTTTGCTCTCAGACTGCAGGTTTACTTGTGGTTCCTAGAGTTTCCAAAAGCAGAATGGGAGGAAGAGCTTTAAGCAATTTCTTCACTCTGCTGCTGTTTTTACTTTCTCTGCGCTACCCGTTTATATTTGTAATTATTTATTTCTTAACGTGAGTTGTTTTTTTTTTTGGTCTGTCCTCCTATAGAAAGTACACCTGAACCTGTCATTCTGTGTCTGTTTCTACTTCCTGTCCTCTCAGTCTCTACTTCCCGTCCTCTCAGTTTCTACTTCCTGTCCTCTCAGTTTCTACTTCCTGTCCTCTCAGTTTCTACTTCCTGTCCTCTCAGTTTCTACTTCCCGTCCTCTCAGTTTCTACTTCCCGTCCTCTCAGTTTCTACTTCCTGTCCTCTCAGTTTCTACTTCCTGTCCTCTCAGTTTCTACTTCCTGTCCTCTCAGTTTCTACTTCCTGTCCTCTCAAACCCAGCTGGTCGAAGCAGATGGACGCTCGTCCTGAGCCTGGTTCTGCTGGAGGTTTCTTCCTGTTAAAGGAGTTTTTCTTCCCACTGTCTCCTCTGTTCTTGCTCAGGATGTGAGACTGTGATGAAGTGAACATTCAACACAATCTGCTTCTTCCTTAGATAAATAACTTTTACTAATTTGCTTTTTATACATATGAAAGTTTCTGTTCAGTGCCCAGAGACGACTTCTGTTGTGACGTGGCTCTGTATTGGCTCTACTGTGTTAAAATTCTTATGGCATGTTTTAAAAAATCATTCTAAGCAATGGCAGTAATAGTAATTGTGATTTTTTAAAATTATATTAAGAGTTTGACCATGTAATAATACAATGTTTGAACTTATGCTTTCTCCACTATCATATTTAAAATAATTAAGAACATTTAATTATTTTTTGAGACATATAATTTTTTTTTCCTTTACCCTTTATTTATTAAGTCACGAGTACTCGTTTTTCAAGAGAGACCTATTAAATATTTCATTAATTTTCTATAATTGTATGACCTGATTCAAAATAAAAATGTTTTTGTTTTGATGTTTTTTTTATCCAGCCATTACAAGTTTTAGATTTGTAATTTAATTACTAAAAAAGTCAAATAAATCCTGCCAAATCTGCGTATCTGACTCAACGATGAGGTTTTACAGTGACACTGGAGCTACAGTAAAGGGTTAAATGACAGTCCATGAGGTGTGTGCGCAGACGGAAACATGCCGGAGCCAACACACCCTGACCGAGCCGGTCCGCTCTAAATGAAACCAAACACACCCGTATGTCCCAAATCAATTAGGAAGTCCCAGAGTTCACAGCTTTGCTCACAGATCCAGCTCCAGAACTAATTACTGCAACACCTCTGACACTCCTGCGCCAAGAACTGAGCATCATGGGAAACGATGACGACACGAGCAGGACGAACCTCCACGGAAGGAAGAGAACGGAAGAAAAGATTAAGACGGATCAAAAGAGGTAAAAACACCCAAACACCTTTGTGCTCGGCTTTAAACCAAGTCATACACGCTAACAATTAATAACTATAAAATAATGAAGATTAAGTGCATCGAAAGGATTAAAAACACAAAGCACATCCACAGTGAGGCAGGGTGAAAAGAAAAACACAACATCTGAAGCAGTTTGTCTGAGCGGCCGTGGTGCAGTGGTAGTGGCAGCCGACCTCTGATCGGAAGGTTGGAGGTTCGAATCCCGACTTCCCACACCATGTGCCGTTGTGTCCCTGGGCAAGACACTTAACCCCGAGTTGCTCCCGGTGGGACTGGATGGCGCCTTGCATGGCAGCCTACCGCCACCGGTGTATGAATGTGCGTGTGAATGGGTGGATGGCTGGTACTGTAAAGCGCCTTGGGGCCCCTCATAGGGGGCTGGAAGGCGCTATAGAAGTAAGCTCCATTTACCATTTACCATGAGCGTGGGGGGGGGGGGGGGGGGGGGGTACAGTCGAACCTGGAGAATAAAGGCTCATAATTGCATAATTATAGCAGCGGATACCTGACACGCTGAATGCAGACGTCAAATGAGTTCCACATAATTTAACCAAACAGAGGCGAGACCAGGCCACGGCAGGGCCCACCAGGAAATATACCCTCCCCTCTACGGCAGGGCCCACCAGGAAATATACCCCCCCCCCCACTTTGTCTTTGTCTGCTTTTCCTCCAAAACCTCTCTGCTCTGTTGCAGCTCATGGTTGGAGATTAAATACCTGTTAGTGCCGCACTTTCCTGCTGCAGAAAGAACATATTAGGCAAAGAGTGATTTGAAGAAATTGTTCTGTGGTCAAAGAGGACTTTTTCCTGACCCTCAAACGCCTCGCTGAAAGAGCTGCTTAGAGCTGAAACGTTTCCGCAACTCGTCAGTCCGTCAAAATGATTGGGCGACTTCTGGAATAATCCATTTAACCTTGAAGTCAGCGTTCAACTGAAATGCAAGAAAATTCAGACCGAAGTGAACAGGAGGCAGAAAAATACAAACACGAGGTGAACAGCAGTAACATCCATCCATCCATCCATCCACCCAGCCATCCATCCATGCATCCAGCCATCCAGCCATCCATCCATGCATCATCTTTACTCGCTTTTTCCTTTTCAGCTTGTGGAGGTCACTGGTGCCCATATCCAGCAGTTATTGTATGAGAGGCGGGGGACACCGGGACAGGTCTCCAGTCCATCACAGGGACACAGAGACAAATGAGACAAACATTCTCTTTCTCTCATATTCTCTCTCATTCTCATGGTCTCTCGTATTCGCTCTCATTCTCTCTCTTATTCCCTCTCGTTATCATTCTCTCTCATTCTCATCTTCTCTCATTCTCATTCTCTCTAATTTTCATTGTCTCATTCTCTCGTATTCTCTCATTCTCTCTCATTCTCATTCCCTCTCATTCTCTCTCATTATCTGTCATTCTAATTCTCTCCCGTATTCTCTCTCATTCTCATATTATCTCTCATTCTCTCATATTATCTCTCATTCTCTCGTATTA